GTGCCCTAACCACCTGGCCATGCCGGGCCAATATATATATATATATATATGTATGTATGAAACTTATTAAGGTCAACAATGTTGACATCAACGGTGATATATGATGATATGTTACAAAATCTGAGTGAGATAAAATACATTAAATTTTTTCTAACATATCTCTTAATTTTAACTGCTTGCTGAGCGAGCATCTATTATGCAAAACATCTAGTTAAAAGAACAGTTTGGAATCCATCGATCACTCCACACAAAATCTAATTCTCTTTAATTACTTGTCACAAGATGAAACTCCACGATAAGAAAGATTAACTGGTTTAAGTTTTAGAACAGAACAACAAAATATATTATAATTAAAATGTGACAGTACTTTAAAATATGAACTGTGTTATTCACTGCAGGAGATAAGATAAACGATGTAACAACTTTGGCAAATAATATATATATATATAAATAACATTCTTTGAAATTACCATTTGCAACAATAAGAGTGCAGTAATAGGGTAGTAAATATTTATTCTGTCAGACTGGTGTAGTCTGTACTGCCACACGCATGTGTAATGTAGCTGTTGTCTTGTGTAGTTTGATGTGAAACAGTATATGAATCAGTATATTGATTAGTCTTTTTTCTCAGAATAATACAATGTAGTTTGGTATGTAACACTATACGCATCGGTGGAATATTTTAGTCTTACGTGTCACAAGAAAAATCAGAGCAGTTTTTGTGTAGTTTAGAGTGTCACAGGACATGAATCAGTGTAATACTGTTTATCATATTTTTAGGTGTACACGTGTGTATTGAATGGGTCACATGTATTAGTACAATAATTTGTAGAATGCTCTAGCAGACTTATGTCACGTGTGTTAGTGTCACAAGTATCAGCACACCAGTTTGTAACTAACCTTAACGGACTTATGTAAACAACACTGTCACGTATATAGAGTGTTTTATTACACTGGTGAAGTTTGGTGTATCAGAATAAATGTATAGATGTAATGTATTTTTACCACTTTCATAAAAGTGATTTTCAAGAGCGACTTGATCTAAAAACTACAATACTTTTATTTTTACTTAACCCTTTGATCACACACACAAAACTCCTTTTTTATCCTGTTCCTTAGGAATGGTTTTGAATTATCTAAGCTTAGATCAGTTTAATTGTAGGACCTAATTCAAATACTCAATGGACTTTAATTACTTTCTAGCCTGACCAGTATCCGAGAAGAAGCCTTGAGTTAAGCCCTTGGGAACCTTTTGGCTCTATTTTTTGTTAATGTTGTTTTTCTCTCTCAACACCAGAACTGCGAATTTCGGAGAAAATTTAGAAAGACTTCACACTTCATCAGTAACGCTAAGAAAAGATTTAACAAAGCACAGTTCAGGGCTTTGATAGTGGTGATCTTGAAAAAATCCGAGCTTTTCTGACAACCAAACTTGGGTTCAATCAGAGGCGTCGCTAAGTGCTTAAAATATTCGGGGCGAGGGCCCATAGGCGTGGGAAATTTCGACGTTTCAGTATGATATCGATCATGGTTTTCTATTCTGATTTTTCAAGACACCAACCAGGAATTCGTGACACTGTCGAATAGAATTGGGGCACGGGCCTCACGTGCCAGTGCCTAACGACTCCTCTAGGTCCATCTGTCGAAAGCGCTAAGGTTTTTTCTTTTTCTTTACCCAACTTTTTTAACCTTCAGTGTGTATTTTTACTATTGAGTAATAGCGATCTGTAATTCACGTGTTTTGTGTTTTTCATTCACCACAGATAATATTTATTTACATAGGCATTTGAAAGATATGTAGAGTTAAATGCTACTGATTTGTTCTAAGAACAAGCTTCGTTGTAAAGTATTTTTGTCTCAACACTCAAACTGTAAATTTCAACGAGAAAGAAACGTGAGACACAGTATCTTGTCATTAAGTTAGACGGGTTTCGGGGACTCCCCTCCTCTCTTCAGCAATCCTGAGTAAGATAAAATCAAAGAATAAGGCCAGGTTTCTGTGCTGGTGATCTGCAATTCATGTGTATTATGTCTGGGTTGTTCTTTATCCACTACAAACAGCAAATTTCTCAACATCGAAATTGTGAAATTTAGTGAGAAAGAAACACGAAACACACACTATTTTTGGATTCGGCATTTAATTAGATCAGTTTCGGAGCAGTTCACCTTTCAAAGAACAGACAGAGCCTCACCTTTTCCGTGTTTCAGAATTTTTTCACTTAATTTCAATATTCAAAATTTCAAATACCAATTATGAGGGTTTGGTTTTGGTTTGAATTCTGCACCAAGCTACATGAGGGCTATCTGCGCTAACCATTCCTAATTTAGCAGTGATAGACTAGAGTAAGGCAGCACTCACCACCAACGCTTGGGTTACTCTTTTATCAACAAATAGCCCCCCCCCCCTAGTGGCACAGCGGTATGTCTGCGGACTTACAACGCTAGAATCCGGGTTTCGATATCCGTGGTGGGCAGAGCAAAGATAGCCCATTGTGTAGCTTTCTGCTTAATTACAAACAAACAAACCAACGAATAGTGGGATTAACCGTCACCTTATAATTCCCTAATGGCTGAAAGGGAGAGCATGTTCGAAGACAGAGATTCGAACCCGCAGATTACGCCCTATCTACCAGGCCGTGCCGGCCCTTATTCTGAGTACAGCCTGAGCCCTGGGACAGCTGCCCCACCTATCACTACGTTTCTTTCTCACCAAAATTTGCTAAGAAATAAGATCCTAGTAACAACCTACCTATTCTTCACATACCTATATAAATGTAGGTTACTTGTGAGAAGCGGACAACCCACACACTAAACACATTGATTCATAGAAGCCCCAGGCTATGCAAAGTTAACTTTAAAATTAGCGCTTGTAACACTCAAGTTAGCAAGAAGGGTCGCAGTGGTACTTCTCTTTGTTGACGGGATTAAATCTGCCCTAAATAATTGCACAGAATCATAATCACCACAACAAACTGGAATCTGTTGAGGTTCTTCTAGCCTCTAAATCCCACACAGTTTCTGGTATTTCTTCTGGTTAAACTTCCTCTAATGAACGTGATTGTCAATAAAATTGAACTTTTACATAACTTCATCTCCACTGACATGGTCATACACACTATACATCCACCAAGTAAAACAAAACATCATATTCCGACTTTGTACACAAAAATTAAAATAAAATAAAACCGGCACACCCCTGAAATAAGGCTATACATCCCCCGTCCCTCTTCCCCCTCCGAGTATACCTTCACTCCTTTACTTTCTAAGTGCTTTCACGGCTTCCAAAACTTAAACGCTTCAAACGGTTTGTTTGTTATAAATTTCGCGCAAAGCCGTCCCTAATTTAGCAGTGTAAGACTAGAGGGAAGGCAGCTAGTCATCCCCACCCACCACCAACTCTTTTATTAATGAATAGTGGGATTGATTGTCACATTATAACGCCCCCACACCTGAAAGGGCGAGCATGTTTGGTGTGACCGGGATTCGAACCCGCGACCCGCAGATTGCGAATCGAGCGCCCCAACTACCTGGCCATGCCGGCCCGCTTCAAACGGATAAGTGGAGTTATTACTTTTATTCCAATATCACCATTAATGTGCTGACGTATTACTCCCATAAACTTTAATTCACTTAATATCATTTACAGTTCCCTTAAAAATAAGAAGCTCCTCTTCGAAAGTTTTACTCCAATCTCTACTTATTTCACATTTCGAAATGCAATGGTTCTCACAGATTTGAACTATTAGTCTTCAATTGTGTTAATTCATATTTATTCTATGAAATCTTATATGAAGGGGCCCCGGAAAATTGGTATTTGAAATTTTTAAAATTAAAATGACGGGAAATATATCCCGAAACCCGGAAAGGTTTTTTAAGGTGTTATTACTGGGAATGTTGAAGACTCATTATTTTGCAATACTAGATCGTTTATAACCAGTCAAGCTCAAGGATCGTCTTAAATCATCAAATACTTCGTAAAGTTACAAGAAATTTAAATTTTGTAAACTTTTAAGAAGGGGGACAGTTTATGGTTTTTATTTGTCGTAGCAATAAAAGTACATTTTATCATTTAATATACATTTTGGTGGGATGATGGCGTGAGAAAGGAACAGTTTAAGTTGAGAGTGTGATTAAAAACGAATGAAACTGAAGATTAAGAGATGATAATTTGAAATCAATGCAATTGTATATCAGAATGAAAATATTGAACTAACAGTTAAAAAATATATATATACACAGTTTAGGGCAATGATTGAAATTTTATAAATAGATATGGCTAACCATTACATGTGTAATGCAGTGAACACACAACCAAACAATAATCTTCATTTTAACTACAATGTGTAACAAAACACATCTTTAACCTAAGAAAATAACACACTAATGTTTAGACTTCATATAATTTCTTTCATATCAATGAGTTTCACCTGCTCACCTAATGACTCCATTGCAAAATTTACCTTGAGCTTTCGCCATCAGAAACATACTGAGACTTGTCTTTAACGAATGCTTTTAGAGTGGCAACAGTCTGCTTGGTGTTTATATCGATAGAAATGCGCCACCTGGAGGGATATGTTTCCTGAGCGCCTAGAATGCGAAGACCACTTCTCAACTCGAGCCCTACAAATATAGTTCAGTATTAACTGTGATTTTTTTTTATATTGTTCAACTAGAAGTAAAACTGAATTTTCATCAGTGTCAGTATTTATTAACTTCGATCATATCCAGCCACCTACACAGGACACATATAAAAACATCAACCAGTAACAAATATAGCTTATTTAACACACTGCTCTGATTTCTGAATTATAGTGATTAGAATGCATTGTTTGATGGGTTGGGTGCCCTCGCTGTTGGCAATATTTTCGGCCGTAATTCCAATAATATCTCATGAGATTCGGCCAGATTCTAAGAGATTTGGGTTAGTCCTATATCTATATATTAAGTTAACAATGCAAAATAATCCTTATAATAAAAGTAACATTAAAGAAAAAATAGAGTATAACTTACTTATAGAACAAATAAAAACTAGATGTTTGCTTAATGCACTATCACCACCCATTTCTTGTTCCTTGAAAAACTTGTTCACAGATAATTATTCTGTGTCTGTTTATGTATCCGATATTAAGTGCTTATTGAGAAAGAAACATACCTCTATTTATTTATCAAGAAAGAAAATTTCAAGTAAGATAATTTGTAGAAATATATAAAAATACATTTATATCAGTATCCGTTTTTAAGTACCCCAACTTCTTCCTCCATTTTTTTATAGTAAAAACTGAAGATAATTAAACAGAATCAGCAAGGATTAGATCAACATCTATCATTAGTTAGAAAAGTCAGGGAAAATATTCACTTCTTCAAATTGTTACCTATTAAACATTTTGAAAATAATTACCAATTGAATTCCAAAAGCAAATGTTATCTTATCTACCCAATCTCTTCAGCAAAGTCTTCCACAAACGATAATGTACCCAAATAACAATGAACACTCGTGAACTTAAAACATTAATAAGCTGGGTGACACAAGTTCTAAAAACAATCGTTATCTGAATTTAACTCCCCCCTTTGTCCCTGATTGAAACAGGTTCACCTCTTGAAAGCGCTAGTTTTATTGTTTTTTTAAATGTGATATACCAACTTACTGGTCTTATATGTTGTTTATTATAATGAAAAACGATTATTATTTAAGTAAGGTTTATGCTTTCTTGAACCTGTTTCTGTATCATGCCCTCCTGAAGTGCAGTTGTACTAATTTCAAGAAGTACAAGTTAGTATTAGGAGTTTATCTCTCTTGGAAATGATCGCTGACAGATAATACTGGGATTGTTAGATACTGCACTAGGTTTCTGTCTGACTTGAAAGAATGATTTCATAATAATTCTTGTGTAAAAGTGCTTCTGATCTACTCTATCAACCAGTTGTTCGAGCATTAATAGAGAATATAGAAACGAACCAGTACAACTGAAGCCCCAAATAATACTGTGCATGTTTATCCAAGAATAAATAACACTTGGATAAACACGTATTCTTAGTTGCCTAGCGTTTGATTAAATTCTTTAGTGTCAATGTTCGAAGTTATTCTCTGCTAAACATTTCTGACACTGTGTATTGTGATACTTATAATTATCTGTTTTACATCAAAGTACCTGAATATCACATCATATATATATATATATATATAAGATATGCCCTTTCTAACATTAATACTTTGTATTAATCCTTGTATGTAACCCTGCTTGCCAGAAACGATCAAATATATAATTTTCCAGCCACGTTACAAAGTATCTAACCCACTCACTGAATCCTGAACATCTTTCTTTATACCAATGTGGCCTAGGTTCTTTTGAGAATGCTGATGAAATATATATAGTTTAGTCCATTTTAAGACCAATTTTGAATGGTGTATGAACAAATAGTAGTATGGGTAAAAGTTCTAGTGTAAAAGAACAGTTTAACAGTGGAGAAAAGTCTGCAGAGAAAGGGGAAAAAAAACAGAAACAAATGAGATTGAGATATTGAAAGGAAGTCGAACGTGATAACAAAAAAGAAAAAAAAAGAAACATTGGTTGAAAGAAGAAAGTTTATGTATTTCGAGAAAAAAAAAGCAGAAACAAACAAGATGAAAAATTAACGTTGAAGAAAAAAACAGCAGCATCTGGCAAAAATAACAACTGGAACATGAAAAATTGGTAGAAAAAATTTTCAAAATGAATATAAAACAGCAGAAATTGGCAAGATAAATGAAAAGCTATTGCTGAGGCAGGAAACGTGAAGTTGCTTAGAAAATGTAATTAGTGTTAAAAAAACGAAGAAAAGTGAAATGATAAAAAAAAAACTCTGTGGTGAAGAATAAAATAGTGAAAGGAATGAAAAACTGAATACGGAATAATGAAAAACTTGAAACAAACAATAATTAATAGGAACTGTTATAGAATACCACCCAAAAAAGCAGAAACGGTCAATATGAAAAATAAAAGTGTACAATGTTGAATTTTAAAATAAGTAAACTGTTTCAGACAACAAAATGGTTGCATTAATGATAGAGTAAATAAGTTAGTGAGATTGTAAAAATATCAAATAATGAAAATTAAAAAGTTACCTTTGTTTTGGCAAGAAAACTAACAGCAACTCAATAAGAAATGAATGAAGGAATAAAGAATCTGCTGGACAGAAAGAAACAGTAAAACCAGAATAATAATTAGAATAATAATTAAACGCACATTTCGTTGTTTATTCATAACTAATTAAAAAGTTGTAAATAAATTTGAAACTTCTATGTTTAACATATTTTACGAATTTCTTACAAAAATACTTCGTAACGGAATTAGCAAAAACAACAGTATTGTAAAAATAACTATCCGAAAATTTGGTCAAGGAAGATAAACAAAATTAGGGTTACAAACCCAAAAAACTTACCTTATAACAAACACATATAATGGATAGACTGGATGTGACTGAAGATAAACGGGGACATAAACCTTAGAACGAGGATACACCGGAGCTTGGGGAACTAATAATCGAACAACATCATCATTCTTTACTTCTTCGTAGCTTCCATGACTATTAGACAGCACAACATGAGCAAGAAACATGCTAGAGCCACCGGTTGGCACTGTAACTAGGAGAGAGTTGGCAGTACATTCCAATTTGTGGCTCTGTAGAACAGCGTATTCTACTCGAACAGCAGCTTTATGAAGCTTGGTCACCTTCCAAGGCTGAGCCTGAAGCTGTGGCCACCAAGTCCACGGTAGAAGCACCTCACCCAGACAAACTCCGTCACGACTGGACATCGGATTGCATACCGCCATCACTCGCTCCTCCTGGTAGCTCACATACAGCGCCACACACAGCGCCCCCTTGTGACTGTCATGGAAGTTTTGCCTTGTCTTGGGATCCGATGCCCTACTGCTGTGAAACAGTACACGAAGCACTGGCTGATCGCGGCGAACTTCATGGGTCACAATATGTGCAATAACGTCTGTGTCACCACCAGATGGCACTGCTAGCGGTGGGATTCTCTCAGTTTCATCTTCAAGATTTTCCTGACTAGAATTCCGGTTTTCGCTAGCTGATGGAACTATCAATGTCTGCTTTACTGAAAAAGGTCCATAGAAAGCCCGAACAGTCACTGGAGAAGAAGGGTGAACCAAGGTGAATTTTTCACTTTTACTTGTTGTACCACCTTGCTGACCATGATCCACCAGATGACCAGGCTTAAGAAAGAATCCTGAATCCCTACTTTCCAGTGTGACTTCTACTATAGCATGAGACCCTGTAAACAACAGATGTAAATTTTTTTACTCTTTTGACCTATTAGCCAGGACATCTACCAAAGGATAATCAATTCAAACATTGTTGCTTTGTTTTGATTTCAATATGTATAAACGCACAAAAGCAAACAGAAGGTCAAGCAGAACGGAGCAAAACTCCTGTCTGTTCTTCTACAAATCGAAAACCAGTATTGAATATACACTTTGTAAGTATTATTGCTCAAACAGTACTGTTGTTTAATAAAATTATCCAGAGTTTGTCCACATTTTGAGAAGCTTTTAACTTTTTTTACTAGATATTTCACGTATTACGTTTCATAGGTCTGATTTAAAGGAAATCACCTGGCGGAAGACCTTACATTAAAATAATTTGTGTCTAAGAACCTATAAACTTAACTCTTCTGTGAGAGTTGTTAATTAATTGTATACTAGAGAATAAACTCGTGCTTCGTGTACAATGTGTGTACTAAAATTATGTGACTACTGAAACATTGTTTATAAAAAAAACAACAAAAAAACTAGATATAGACAGGATTGAATCCTCAATCCACCGCGTAAGGAGCGTGTGCTATGCCATTTAAGTCAAGTCCAGAGATTTTTTTCACATATTCAGCATCATCAAGTGGAATATTATATATATATGAGTAGAGAATATGTGTTTTAATAGATAAATCATTTAAATAATGCTGTTGTTCTATTACATAGTTGAAGATGAATGAAACAAAAACCTACTAAGCAGAATATGGAGTTGTTGTATTTAGATTTAAAGTAAAGAATGTAAAAACATGGAATGACTATAAACGAAATATATATCTGTGCACAAAACTTTGTATAAACACCTTGTCTTTGTCAATAATCGCGATCTTTGATTAATATTTCGATATTTTTTTCTTGATCTACCTCTTGATAAAACGACGTTGTAAAATAGTGTATTTTTAAAATTATGGTATGAAGAAGTGTAAAAATCAACTGTCTTCGTTTATTGCTATATCACATATTTTATTTTCCTTCCATAAAGTATTAGCAAAGTGTCGGGTCCACCACCACCAATAACTTTAGGCTTAGTTGTACATTTTTAGGCGCCTGAATTGAGATAGTTGAAAACGAATAATAGTTATACAATAGTGAATTTTTAAAATTATGGTATTAAGAAGTGTAAATATAAACTGTCTTGAAATTTGTATTGAGATGTAATGGTATTGCGTTATTTATAAGCCAGGGATAGGTAAAGAATTAACATAATGTGTTTCATTGTGTCTCTAAAGTCAATATTATAAACGTCGTAATTTCGCATTCGTATAGAACAGTGCACGTTAAACGTTGTTCACTTTTGCACTTGTAATTAAAATAGTGTTAAATGACTTAAAACGCTTAAAACCGACTTTCGATACCCGTGGTTGACACAACATAGGTAGCCAGCCCATTGTATTGCTTTGTGCTTAACCACAAACAAACAGTTCTTTATTGGTGAAAGCATGTTAGTCCGTTGACAATATTCCAGGTAATATCGTAAATATATTAAAAATAGTTTTTCGTTCCAAAATTACATATATGAATTAACTTTATAGTGATGTCGGATTTCATACAAAATGGTATGCATACTACAGCGAGTTTTTGAATGACATATGAGGACAACAACAACTAAATCATAATCGTTCATGAAAGTTAAATAACTTTGTTACAGTTGGAAGATTCAAAGAAATCTGTTACAAAGTTGTTTGATATATTGATATGCTATAATATTTTTTTAGTATTAGAAACACTGCAATTCAACTTAAAAACTTATCTTCTATAGTTACATTTAGAGTAACTTTAGTTTACGTCAGCCGCCCTTCCACCATTCCAGCTAATACAATACGTGCTCTAGTTAACACACGATCCACTCCAATTAAGCTAAGCTTATACCTATCATATATTTAAGCTATCACTCCATCCATATCGAATACATAGAGCTAGTATATAAAATAGTATATATTGTTATGTTGTATACTGTTGCCTGGGGCAAGTGGCTGGTATTAGATATACACCACTGTTTACGTTTAATACGATGTGTTATTATTTATATGGTTTAAGTATAGCACAAGTTAAATTTAGTTATTTTTAGAAGCGATAGTTTATCGCAGGTTTGTTTACGTAACTGTGTACGAACCATACGTTGCTTAGTTCAATTGCTGTGAATCGGCGCTAGTTGTATTATTGCGTCATATTACTAGAACCTTCTAAACTTTTCTCGTTGTTTTGACTGAGTATTATTGCATCATGATATATCGTAGTATGTAGAACGTTCTAGGCCTTGGTCAGGCAATAAATACGCATACAAAGTAAGACATATATAGACAGTTATATAGATAGATAAACCTATACTGCGTGATTGTGTATTTAGCCATAAAAAAGTGTATATTACTGACTTTTCAAGTGAAATTATTACAGATTGTATTGTAATAACACAGTAGACAAGAAATAATTTGTCTTGTCAATTGTGTTCTAGAGTAACTGAACCAGCTTGTATGGACGAAAAAAAAAAAAGAGACAATTATTTAAAGCTCTGAATACAACTGTAATAGCCAACAGTATAATGAACATTTGTATATACGTATGACTTATTTTAATATATTATTTTAAAACAAGTGGATTGGTGCTGTTTGTTTAGTGTTGAAATTTATCGCCAACAAGTCACAGATACCTACTGTAAAGAATCCGGTCCATACGTACATAAAATCTTGAGAGATAGCTTTCTCCACTGTCATTTGTATATGTGTGGATTTTCACCTATAACAAGACGCCCCAGTTTACTTACCACGGCTGGGGTACGACTTGTTGCAGGTCTTTTTCTGGAAATCTTGTTTCCATAAGTTCATTCATATTCATTTGTTTTCCAACGCCGTTAAATACATAGGACATATACATCTTGGAAATTCCAAATCCCTCACCAGAACACATCTTTATGATCTGATTGTATGAATATTTTGCATTGGAAAGGGCTGTTACATTCCCTTCGCAAAAGCGATCAATGTCCAGTAGATCACACTACCTATGTAATGCCAATATCAAAATGTAGTTCTGATACACACAATTCCACCGTGCTTTATACAGACGTTCACTGTCCCGTGACATTCTGATATGCATATTCAAAAGCGTTTTAACACAACATATTCAACTCTTTGTATATATATATATGTTTCAGCTACTAGTGTTCATTCTGACTCGAAAGAAGGTTATAAGTATGTTTTAGATACTTTTCCAATCATTCTAGCTATCACTCCACTCAGTTCTATTCAACAGAGCTTAGATAAAATGTATTCTAGCTATATCTCCACTTACATATAGTTGTTCGTTGAAGCTTATCACTCCATTCACTCTTACTCTATAAGATCTTATATTTTCTAGCTTATTTCATCCACACTACTCTAATAGGGCTTATACAGCATTTTATACCTTACCACTTCTACTCTAATATAACTTATAACATGTTCTGGCTTATCACCCATTCACTCTTACTCTATAAGATCTTATATTTTCTAGCTTATTTCATCCACACTACTCTAATAGGGCTTATACAGCATTTTATACCTTACCACTTCTACTCTAATATAACTTATAACATGTTCTGGCTTATCACCCATTCCACTACGACGTCTAATACAGCTTACCTAACATTCGCTAGCATATTACTCTAGCCACTCCAACTCTAATAGAGCTTATATAACATGTTCTAGCTAACATTTTACCTATAGAACTAAAAAAATCTAACAAATAACCCATTATGTAGCTTTGCACTTAACTACAAATATACAAGCAAACATTTTCTAATATACCTAGGCTCTATTAGGCAGGCGGTAGCACTGCCTATGTAGGGATGGCTCGGATTGTGAATAGAAATGGTATTGTATATATATCTCCTCAAGAGATCATCAGAACTTTACAATACTATACAGTGTTTCCTTTTATAACAAAATCTA